AGTGATCAATTGGGCCTTTTACACCTTACGTGTTGTAATTAATTTTATGTGGTAGTTTAAAATATGTGGGCCGGAAATAAACCTTAATTAGAATTCTAGTCGTAATGGGACGGCTCAATTATTTTCTATATAAAGGCTAGGTCCCCTCTCCTCTCCAGATATGTTTTCATTAGCTTGCCCCATTGATAATTATTACTTTGTGAGGAGCAAGGAAGGGAAGATCTTGACTGCTATTACAATTATAATTCATATCAACAATGGCTTTCGCAAGTATGAATTCGTTTCTATTAAATTTATTGGATTGTGATTATCGATTCTTAACATGATTAAAACTAAAGATCAGCAATGCAAGTGAAATAAATATATTTGTTAAAACTTCAACATATGCATAATTTCTATAAATAGATGAAGTGACTTCATCCTACGACCTTTGATAACTTATGAAATTACATGATCTAAGAACTTAAGTTTTTTAGAGACGTAATAAATATATTTATTTAGAAGTTTAGTCCCTTCTTTAACAACAGTGGTGTCATAAAATTTGAAGTCGAAAGATGTTGTGTTTCTGGAACGAACATATTTAAATAATTAGAAGAATTAAATAATTTCATTGACATACTGTTGGGGTAAACTTTTATTCTTTTTCCATCTATATTTTTTCTCTTGCGTACTGGGAATGCTAGTTAGAATATCATGCATCACAAGAATTGAAAATAATAGGCTGACTGATAAATTCTTTATGGGTCTATCTCTTCAAGATTTGTCTATATATACTCTAACCTAATTGCCCAAAAATACACCATTTACAATAAGAGGCATTGCAGAAACTTGCCTGATCAGCCCTCTATTCTCTTTTCTTGTAGAATAGAGAATCTGATCAAAGGCAATTAACTAATCCCGGAAAATGATTCAGATAGTGCCTCAATCAGTTGTGTTAACCTATATAGTTTTTATTGCAACCCAGCTGAAGTGGGCATGGGATTATCTTCTTTATCAATCCTTCTTCGTTCAGCCTGCCGGAATCAAGTTACCAGAATATGTTGATGATCTTAGTGTTACGTGCTATGAAAATAACGAAGAGTCCAGAGATTCTGTTGAATGTGCTGTTTGTTTATGCAAGATTGAAGAAGGAGATGAAATCAGAGAGCTGAGATGTGATCATCTGTTTCACAGAGTTTGTTTGGATAGATGGTTGGGCTATGGGCACATGACATGCCCTCTTTGCCGGAATATTCTTAAGTTTGCACCACTAGTGGAGGATCTCTACCACCATCAGGAACTGATTCTTATTAACTTCTGTGCCACAACATCCAGGGATCGCTGTGCATGGTGGCTGCGATGAGCTGATGATCAGTTTGTTCATTTATTTTTAAGTAGCTGCCTGCCGATTTTTATCTTCTTTTTTATTTATTTATTATATGGTTCATACCGTTTTCGGGAATTCAAACATATTGTACTCATGCAATAAATATGGTTATACATTTTCGGATGAATTGAGAACATAAATTTATATACACAGTTGTCACTTTCGCAAAGAATAAGATCCATGTAGCTTAAATGTGAAAACAACAATTAGCATATATATATATATATATATATATATATATAT